CTTTAAAACAAGTACAAAATCATGTTTCTAGCATTTGTGGTTGATGAGTTATAGCCGTTCGAAGGTAACCAATCACACTTGCGTTTCTTTTGGTAGCCACTGTATTTAAAGAAAAATATATAAAAATAAATTATAAATATAATATTTAGAATTAAATAAAATAAATATATATTTTGTATAGATAATTTTAATATTGAATATTTTATAAAGTTTTTAAAAATTATTATAATAAAATATTTAATAAAAATTTATTTAATAATTATAAATATAATATCATAATTAAAATAAACTTTATTTCTTCTTATTTTAATTTTATATTTTTAATATTAAATAATATAATTTAAATTAATTAATTAAAAAATTATTATTTATATTATATATAATTATTAATTTAATTATTATTATAAAGGTAAAATATTTTGTTGCATTTAAAAAAGATTTGATAGTAATCTATAATCTGATTTATTTTAATATTATAAAAGTTAAATTCTAAAACTTATAATTTTAAAAAACAAAATTTTGATAATTAGACTATTAGTTATAGGATTATCCAATTGTTTAGGTTAAATATTTATATAATACAATTGGTATATTACAATTGTTTAGGTTAAATATTGTATATTACTAAGTGATCTTTTAGTATTAAATACCTCTTATATCATATTTACTTATTATACTATTATTCTTTTATTCAAATTAAATAAAATAAATTCTGGTCACGTGGTAAGTTTTAGGTTGAAATCATCTTTGATTTCTTTAAGATCCATCTTGGTTAAAAAATAGAGTTACTTGTTAATTTGTTTAACATTTCTCTGTTAACTTTTTATAGTAACTTAAGAAGCTGACGAAAGAAGTCTTTCGTATTATTTCTTTTTTCACATAATAGGAGGTTTTGCTATTAAAATCAAGTTACGATCATAGTAAATTATATGATCTGTAACATAGTTTTAATAGCAAATGTGATAAATTGATAGATTTGCCTAATTAAGGAAATATCAAGTTAGCTTTACTTATAGAAAGTTAATATTAACTATCAAAATTGAAAATACAAATAATGTTAAATTTATTTTTGATTTTATTAAATTTTGTGAATTTTAAAAATGCTTTAGAATTAAATGCAAAAAAAACAATCAATTGAAATCAGCTATTACACATAATTGCCATTATCTTTCATTACTTGCTATATGTAGTTACCTGTTTTATGTAATCTATCAAATTTGGCGTAATAACTCATCACATATCAGTATAAAATTAAAGATCTCAGAAAAGTTCTGCAGGAACTTAGCTAACAAAATTTTTCACAAGGTATTTCTATATAGAAAGGACATAATTGAAACATACATATATATCACTCATTTCATTTTTACGTGAATGCGTTATAATGTTCCAATGTTCCAAGAAACAGATTTATTAGGAATTAAACTACATTCATGGCGCTATTTTGTGTAGTGAAAAGAAATTTGTGCAATAGTGAAATTTTATATAAGGTGGATACTTCAGCATAATAAGAAACTTTAGTTAGATCTGGGGAATTTCTAAACCTTTAGAATTTTTCCACAAGTTCTGCTCTACTACTATTTTTTAACTGAAAAAAAGTCATGTCTAACAACTTTACAAATCTCTTTAATACTTTTGATACTTTTACAAGTCCTCCTATTCCTGTTAACCTGATAGTTAGAAAAATTAAAAGGCTAAGTCATAATAAATTAGACCTTGAATTCAAAGACATCAATATAATACATGACGTTAAAAGTAATACCTTTCTTAAATTAATCAAAGTAGAAATTTGTGATGAAAACATAAGTTTATAATAAATTTAGCTAACGCGTTATTTCATTATAAGTTTGCGTTGTTGTAATATGGCTTATGCGGAAAATTCTTTTTCTTTTTCTCTATAAATTAGAGAACACTGGCCTTGTACACTTGTTTATCGATAACTCAAATGTTTTTATCAAGGAAAAAACTTATTTGGTGACAATTACAGGATGATTTATCCAAAACTACTTTCGCGAGCCCTTAATACACGGAATATTGGTAAACATCCAGTTATTGTTGAATCTTACTTACCACCTACCTTAGTGACAAACCTTGAGAATACATTTATCGTAAAGGATATGTATGACGGAGAACATAAGAATCATAAGAAAAAACGAGTTGATGCTGAACTTTTACTTTGTATTTCAAAAACTATTCATAAATATTCTCCCAGAATTTTTGTATTAGTTGCAGATGATGGTGATTATAAACCTACTTTAGAACAAGTTTTAAATAAGAATTGGGAAGTGGAAATTTTGTTTTGGAAAAATGGTAAAGAAATTATTATTACACAGCCACATAATATAAAGTGTGTACTTATAAGTAATTCATCTTTTTAGGTTTCTCTCAAAGTCTTAAGCAACTTAACGTGAAAATCAAATTTTTTGACAATCAATATAAACTTTTTTTAGGCATCGCGCTCAATTATGAAAAGTCCACTAATTCTTTTAAATTATTATAATGATAAAATTGTAGTTGATCTCTAATAAAACTGGTATGCATGCAATTTTATTAATTTTGCTTTATTACTTATCTATTTTTTATCCAAACTAAACTTTCATTTTTAAACATTTAATATATATGTTTTAACATAGGCTTTAATATTACTTATCGCTTTTTTTTTATTACTATATTTTTTATTTTTATTAGCTTTGCGTAGACAAAATTAATAGATTCCATTTCATGATATTTTTTTCTAATAGGTGTATTGGCTTTAAATTTTGGGTAACATTGAAAAAAAAAATAAAAAAATGATTATATGGGCTTTTTGCAATAGAAAGGGGAAAAACGGCTGAAAAATTAAAAAATGAACCAATAAGAATATTTAATATAATGTGGCTAGAGAAACATTTTTGATATATTAAAGTAGGACAGGTTACATAATAA